AAATTTCATCTCTCTTAATATAGTTGAAACGGCAACAAAAACTATATAAATAAATATAAGTTTCAAACTTTGTACAAATTTTGGAAAAATTCATCAAATTTTTATCAAAATTTCCAAAATAAAACGAAAAATCGGTAAATGTCGGATATGCAGTAGCTCAGCCATAAAAAAAAAATGTCAAAAATCAACTGTAAGTCCCAGCCACTGTAAGCTTGCACATTATTATAATAAAATCAAATAGTATTAAACTGCATACCCAAAATTTCTGTACAAATTTTTATTAAGAAGTCTGAAATTTTGATGAAAATTTTTCTAAATTTTGGATGGTGTTTGAAACTTTTATCTGCTTATACAATTTTTAATGCGGCTTGAACCATACTAAAAAAAATTCTTAATTTACAAAATTCGACCAACTTAAAAAAAGTGGCGGTAATATTTGCAATTAATTAAGCTCTATGAACCGTTTGGTGCCTTAGTAATGGACTGAGGCTCATAATTTGTTTCGTGGAGCTCTTTTTTACGAGGAAGCAGTATAAAAAACATTACCAATACTTCCATGCTTCGTTGTTTCCTTCCGCTCTCGGTACCACCATCAAGTATTTCATCGGGAGTAGATTCGAGCACGAAGCTCTACTTCAGCTGCCTTGTAAAGTTTCATCTACTTGAGATACCCTGTCATTCATTTTCAGATAAAGCCAGCCCTGTCGGTATCGTTCACCCTCACCCGCCTGCCTCAAGGGGAAATTTTAAAAGGAAGTATATCGTCGTTTTGCTCCTTTTGCTGAATTCTCCTAGCGATCTTGAGATGCAACCTTCTCCTGGATTATTAGATAAGATTTCCGTGTCGTCGTCCCCTTTTCCCCTTCTTTCCTAGGCTTTAGATCTTTCTTCTGCCAGTGCAGCGACCGAGATGATTCCTATTATGACTGTTGCCGCATCATCTGATGCATGTGTGGTGAATTGACCTATCTCGGCAGCCAGTTCGAAAACGCCCTATATCAAAAAAGTTTTCAACAACGCCCTATTTCAGACTTTGGTGGAAGAACGCCCTATCTAGCTGCTGATTCAGGAACGCCCTATTCTTCAACCAAATTCTGAAGTAGGGCGGTCTTGAAAAGTTTTCTGAGTTACGGCGTTTTCGAACTCGCGGCCGAGATAGGTCGATCTTCCATTCAGCCATCGATATACTCTCACAGCAAAAATGAGTACATATTTTCGAGCCCTAACCGCCAAAATAACGTAAGCGACATTTTTTCAAAATTTTCTTTTTGATGCAGAAATATTCCTAGAGTATGTAGATGCATTTCTGCATCAAAAAGAAAATTTTGAAAAAAATGTCGCTTACGTTATTTTGGCGGTTAAGGCTCGTTTAGTTCTAGTATGATACTGGTAACCGATACAGCTTTTAAATTTTGATAGAATATAGAAATACTTAGCTCAATAATTGTATTTTTTGAGTTGTGACACAATTGAAGTAAATGAGCGAAATGTATGTCCATACTTATCGATGCACTAAATATATCAATATCTAATTTGCTATAAAGTTGTTTCTTTGGCGTTAACGGTTATTTAAAAATTATCGATTTTATTTTTTTCGATTGCAATATATGCGCTAACGGTATAATTATCGTTATCTTATAGATACATTTATTCATCGATACAATTAGAAACATTTGCTAGAAGCGATATCGATATGAGTAACGGATACGTTTGTCGATTAAATTCTACAATATTTGTCGATATTATTATCATTTCATAGGTAATTCAAATCGTTTCGTTATCTTCGTTATCGAAAATATCGAAATCGCACCTACTCTCTTTTGTTTATAAACCGATTTTATAACTCTAGTAAGATAGTAAAGTAAAGAGGCCTGGAAGACGGATGACATCTGAAATCGAAACCTCCGTAGAACGGGACTCATTTTGTGGTCCCATTTAGCCATCTTCAAGAGTCATCTTCGTAAAGCCTTTGATTTAAGAATTCGCCTACCGAGGTGCTTTCAGTTTTTATCACGGACCGTAACAGTTACAACTTTTATTAAACAAATCACTCTTTAACAATTATTTTTTGACTTTTATTTAATTACTCTTTAAATAACCGTTATTTCTGACTTTTATTTTATAAATCGAAAATAACAATTATTTTTGATTTTTATTTAAATAATCTGCAAATAACAGTTATTTTTGATTTTTAAATTATATGTCTTAAATAACAGTTATCGAAGAATTTTATTTATAAAAGTCATAAACAAAAACCAGTCACTGATCTTTCTTTTTCCAATCATACTTATAAAAGTCATTTGAATAAGTCGTAGTAAACTTTCGTTTTCGAAGACCTTCTTAACTGCGAAAAATGTTAATGACTTTTATACGATTGATTTAAAAAATTAAAGTCGGTCACTGATTTATATTAATGACTTTTAAAAGTAAAAGTCACTGACTGATTTTTATTGATGACTTTTATAAATAAAACTCTTCAATAACTGTTATCTAAGCCATACAATATAAAAATCAAAAATAATTGTTGTTTTGGATTTATAATATAAAAATCAAATTGTTATTTTTTTAAATTTTGAATTTTTATTCAATGTTTATTTTAAAATAAATAAAAATTTATTTTAAAATTTGAGTCTCGGTACAAAATGAAATCGATTGGTATGCTTCACTTAGTTGTAGAATATTCCCTTCATAGTGAATTTTTCCATGACAATTTTCATCAATAACTGCCGAGGGCATCTTAAGAATTCTGAATTATGGATTTTTGCAAAGAAAAACTTTTAGGACACACCACAACCAAGGGCATTATAAACTAAACTTTTTCTCAAATATATTGCTGAGTCTATACACCTCCGTTTCGTTACATCCATCAAAATTTGCTGAAAAAGCTCATTTTGCGCCTGGGTTTTGTCTATGAAGTAATTTATTCCGTGCACTTCTTCGGTTCTCCTAAATTAAAATCGTACTTTCACTAGCACACCAGCAACTAAATAAAAGTGTACGCGCTAGAACGAACGCGTCGAAAATTAAGTTGTTTTCTTAGTGAGCTTCTTTTTCAATTGTCAGCTAAAATGGTAGCTTGTAAAGAATTAAGGAGCAGGAAGTGGATGGTAGAAAAAACAAGGCAAAGGAGTAGACAAGTCACTTACAGGAGCACGCACAGTCCTTTCGCCAAAAAGTGTGTTGTTAAGTGGCAAAAAGCAAGAGTCAGAATGGGTGGTAAATTTGCGCTGCTAAAAATCTCCAAAGGAATGGAAGTGAAAATCTGCAATGCGCAATCAAGGTAGAATGTCCGATTCAACGAAGTGGAAATATTAAATGGGTGTGTAAAGTATTTCCGAATGCAATTATGTGCTTAGAATACAGGGAAAGTTGTTTATTCAAAACTTTAATGCAAAAATCTGAATTGACTAACTCTTTAAGGTGTGAAGCATACACCAGGTTGACGAAATTTTTCTATCGTATTGGTTTTGAGCTCAATACTTTTTTGTAAGTTTTTTAAGTTATCCATGGTCCTCCCAGGTTTGGTATCCATTTTACAAGTTTTAACTAAACTTGCAAATTAAATTGATTTTGAATTTTGTACCAGGTGGCAACCTTCGTCTGAAATGGTTTCTAAATAGAGCTTTGACTCGGTTGTTACTACTAATAAAATATATAACATGTAAATTAAATTAATTTTTAATTCCTATACAGGTGGCAACCCTCTTACAATCCATATTCGAGATCAAGCTTTCTTAAACCTCACTCACGCTTGGCACCCATATTAAAATATTTCATTTAACTTGTTAATTAAATCAATTTTGACTTTCTAAACACCCTCATAAAAAATCTCTCGTTTTACCCCTATATTAACATATTTAATTTAAAATGATTTTAAATGTCTAAACGGGTGGCAACCCTTTTCAAAAACGGTTTCCAAATGGTGCCTTCTTTAACATATCCGTTAATTTCTCATGTAAAATTCATAGTTCATTTACCAATTTCCGAAGTAAATTTTTCCTACGCCACTTTCGTTTTAAACCCATATGGCAATATTTCATTTAACTTGTTCATTAAATTGATTTTAACTTCTTGAACACGTGGCCACACTCTTCCAAATTATTTCGAAATAAATCGTTTATGAGCAGCAGCTTTCCTTTGATACATTGTTTTAATATTTTATGTAACCTATTGAAAAAGGTGGCAACTCTCTTCCCAAAATATCCTATATTTGACACCTCTATGTGTGACAAATTTCAATCAAATATCGTCTTAACGTGAAAGAGCAGCCAACCTACTCACCACTCACTCACCCACAAACTTTCACATTTATAAAATTAGTAGGATTAGTAAGATTGCCTTAAAGTCACTAAATATTTGATTTAATGTTTATCTTTTTATTTTTACTTTCAGCTAATAGAAATTAATCCGTGGACAAAAACCAGAGTAAACCTCCAAAGCCAACCTCCTATTCAAAGAAAAGTGGAATTATATACAACTAGCCACAGAAATTGTTAGCAAACAGTATAAATGGCACAGTAAAAATAAAAGGTAGCAGCGTGAACAAGTATTATAACTGGATATTAAAGGCGAGCTATTAAGGCTTAAAAGTAAATCAATAGGCCACAAGGGAAGCACAAGGGAAGCATCCCGGGAAGAATATGGCCACACATGAATACGTGAGGTTAAAGTATTGACCATCACTAACAGATAGATATTCGTAACAAGAAATTAATGAAAAATTGAACACAATGGCGTTAAAGGACAAAATGAAGCCGCTAAGTCAACAAAAATGTAACGTGAACGAAAGCAAAGGACATTGCTGAAGCAGGAGTGACTGCAAATGCAAGGAAAATTAGCATTGTGCTAACAGTAAAAAGAAAATGAGGAATAATTAATAATCGAAACAAAGTGCATACAAAATTTTTAATAATGAAGCGTAAAAGAAACAAAATATATACAAAAATTTGAAAATCTGAAAGATGTAAACTTAAAACAAAAAAGTACTTAAATCAAAAAAGGTACTTAAAGTTAGTGAAATCGCTTTGCAAAAATTTAAAAATGCTGAAATTGCTGCAGCCAAATATTCCACATTGCTCAGCAAGCAAACAACACTGCCAACCAGATTGTCCGTCGCGTGCCAAACGTACTTACCAGTTAAATAGCTTAAAATCATAAAGAAAAACATTGTTGATCAAAGAAAGTTAAGTTTAGATTGTAATCATTTGCAGAAAAGGCACACTCACACACACACAAGTACTTAACAGTAATTTTGAGTAGTTGGAAAATAAAACCTATCGTCGTTGCGCGTAATGAAGACACTCCTTTGCACGTCTGCGACGCATTTACTATCGTTATCGTTACCGTTATCATTAACGCGTTCATTATTTGTAATTATATTTTTACTATTAATTGGTAATTTTGATTTGAGCATTCTACCGTTGCCAACAAAAAGCTTGAATCACCGCAGTATCAGCAAAGTCTCAGCGGAAGTATTTACTTTGGGTTATTTAACCGGCTCACAGCGCAGTCCGGGAAATTTGGATTATCAGCGACCAGGTGAGTTGAGAAATAGAAGTCGGAAATATTTTAGAAATAAACTAAATAAATCCAATTGTTCAAGTCCCGATTGTTCAAGTCCGTGTTGATCCTTTCTTACTCCATCTCTATCGGAATTTGCTTTAAGCTTTAGAGTTTTTCTTTCGATCGACCGCAATCTGTATTTCAAGGTTATGAGTCTATACGACCCGAATCTGACAAACAGGTATTATGTAGCAAGTTTGCTGAGGGATCTTTGGATCCGAAGGACACATTACTCGACTTCAGCGCCACCTCATATATATGTATGTACAGCAATTAACAAGGCAATTCTGGCAACTGTCTTTCAACAAATTATGGTCTTTCAAAAGACAAGTCAGCCATGGTAAAGCTCTTTACTGTCTTTCGAAAAAATAATTGAAAGATCTTCTAATGACGAGGTCTTAGCGGTATTCTGATAAATTCTTAAAGTAACTGATGAATTAAGTTGAAATTTATTTTTCAAAAACGTGGCGACCCTCCTAAATATAGTTCTGAAATAAAGGATTTCAAACCCATTTCCATAGATAACCATCGTTTAGTAATTCATTTAATTTATCAAATGGTTTTAATTTAACCTTTTAAACTGGGGCAACCCTCAAATATATCAAAATTATTCTAAATTGACAAACTAAATATTTCTTAAATCTCTTTCATTTGATATCCATTTTTAATATTTCATATAACTTGGGTATAAAATAATTTAATTCGACTTCTCAAATAGGTGGCAACCCTCTTCAAAATATTGTCAAACTACTACCTTTTAAACCTCTTTTGTCTGATACCCATATAGTGATACCTTATGCACTAACCAAATTTCTTTAATTAAAATTTAACTACATTTTTTGAACATGTGGCAAACCTCCTATACGTAGTTAAGGTATAAAGCCTTTTCAACCCCATTCCGGTTGATATCCATATTGTAGTAATTGATTCAGCTTTTTAAATAATTTGAGCCTAATTTCTAACAGGTGGAAACTCTTTTCGAAACAGTAAAACCTTATTGAACATCCACACCCTAAGCCCTTCAATTTGACACCTCACCTTTGAAAATCGAACGAACTGTGCAGATCTGATGAACTGGGCAAAAAATCCCTTCGCGTTTTATGTATATAGAAAACTTCTAAATCGACTGTTTCAAGTTTTACTATTAAGACTATTTTACCTTTTTTAATTACAAGGTTTATAAATGTTAATTAACAAGTCTAAACACAATTTTTTTCTTTACAGGCATCACCATCTCCGGCGCCATTACACTCGCCGTTTCCCAAGTGAATGCTGGCAGGCTTAAGGAACTCGGTCATTCACTGGAATTCATTGTGGCCGAAACCTATGGTGATGAAGTATCGAGCATACGGCAAACGGCCTCACTTTGGACTCGGCAAGTAGCCGGCTATATTGGACCACAAGAGACCTGCGTGCATGAGGGGCGCATGGCAGCCGCCTTCAATTTACCTATGATATCCTATGTAAACAAAGCCACCTAAAGCATATCACCCCAAATTATAAATTATGCTACTAATCCTTAAATTATTGCAGTACTGCATACACCGCGACACGTCAAATAAACAGGACTTTCCCACTTTTGCGCGCACGCGTCCGCCGGATACACAAATTTCAAAGTCAGTGGTTTCACTGCTTTTAGCTTTTAATTGGACGCAGGTGAGTGGCTTTGGTATGCATTTAATGTTTTAAAACATAGTTTTTTAATTACTTTAAAATATTTGTTTACTAGGTTTCCTTTCTGTATTTGGATAGTCCACATAGCCCTTTTCATCCGGTTGCTGAGACAATACAGAATATTTTACACAATGCTGGCGTAATTGTGCGCGATATACAAACATGGAATACCATTTATCATCACGGCTTCATGGTGAATCCTTTCGATGAGTTGGTAGAGCGTACCTACAAAAATACACGCAGTGAGTAAAAAGTGAATTTTAAGAGGAAAGGGAGTCGTCATTGTAGATATGCATATATGCCTATGTACATACATAAATATGTATACTGATGACAGCCAAAGAGCTTGTATGTATGAATACGTTTTGTGCAAACTCCTACCTGTAAGTGAATTCTCCGCTGCTCAGCATATTCTGCAGTTACAGGCAAGTTTTTGTCATTATCCTTTTGATCCTGCTTTCGTTCGATCATTATCCTGCTAGTGTAATTCTCATATACCTTTTGCACATTTCAAGAGAAATAGTTTATCTGCGACTCGGTTTGNGAGTTACATTTTTTTTGGACAGGGAGTCTGAGTTACCGATTCACTTATAGGAATCAACTCAATAACTCAACTCTGAGTTGAGTTACCCACCTCTAATCGGAGGACAACAAATGTTAAACTGATTTTTGGAAATAGACGGAGTGTTTTAGGAGCTTGCTCCACCTCTGTCACGGGTTGGCCCGGTATTGCAGTACCGCCGGGATTTTGGCCCAAATTTTTGAATACATTTCAAGGTTTATAGCAGTAAATAATCGTAACACGATCAGTTGTGATCGGATAATTTTAATAAAGATGTGAGCGAATTTCACGAGTTCTTTCTTATTTTAGTGTCCGTCCTCCGCTCATGCATTGTAATCAGTGGCGTTCCAGAAACAAGTACCCCTTAAAAAAAAATTAAAGCAAAGTTTTTTCCATCGCTCCGCTCCGGTATTTTATTTCACTTTGCTCCACACCCGCTCCAAAATATTTTTTTTTTATACGTATGTATGAGCCATAGTTGCCAACTTGGTGCTTTAAGCACTAGATTTAGTGCTCGTCAAAGCGGTTTTTTGGGACTTTGAATCGGGGTTTCGGTTCGGTTCAACGGTTCGAAAAACAAAAACAAAAACGCGCAAGTTTAACAGGCTAATGCTTGAAATACAATACCGGCGAACGGCAAACTTCGCCGAATTGGGCGATGCTGTCGTTCACCGTTCGCCCAGCTATTTCGCCTACTTAAACAGAATTAGAGCGATAGCGAAAACAGCTGATCCCATTTGGTCGCCTTTATAATTTGGGTGACCATATTTAGAAAAAACTAAACCATATTTAGAAATGAGGAAATGATAACAAATATAAATATATAAAACAAAGAAAGATTATTGTAAATAATTTGTTTCAAGCCAGATTTAACGAATCCACAACTATATTTTTCAAACAACAAAAATAAATTGTGTTTAGGTTGTTTTCTTTTAAAACTTTGAAAGCAAAAAACAAATACGGCCACCTTTGGCACGCACAGCTGTCATCGCCCAGCAGGGCGATAGAAATAAATCTATCGCCATGAAACGCCGCCAAGCGAACTTCGCATTTCGCTTTTGCTGTGTTCAATTTCATATGCTTGCGGGTGTTCTAATTTTGACAGCGCGAATTTCGCTGTGGTGAGTTCGCCGTTCGCCGGCATTGTATTTCAGCTATAACCTTAATATTCGCGGCTTGCGTTTTGGTACGCACGCCGTAGAATTTTTTGTTTTGCGTCACCCGAAAATGGCTTACGTGCGTTTGCATTTGATTTCATTGAGCGAAATGTCAAATCAAAATGTGACGCAGAACAAAAATTGGAAATTGAGTTATGGTCTGATTATGCATACTTCGCATAACTTCGCACAACTTCGCATAAACTTCAAACTGTAATTTCGTATGTACTTTGTATGTATTCCATTACCCAGAAATTAGCAGCACTTTTAAAAACTTAGCGATCTGTTGAGTTTAGATTTTACTTCACATTTTCTTAAGTTACACTTTTACAGCCAGTTTCACCAAATTATTTAAGTGAAAATTACTTTAATTTTCGAATTTTCAGTTTCACCAATCAATTTTAATTTTGATTTAACAGCCAGTTTCACCAAACTACTTAAGTGGAAATTAACTTTAATTTAATTTTGTATTTAATTCTCATTTAAATAATTTTCAGTTTCAATAAACTATTTATTTAAGTGAGTAAAAAGTGGTTGTAAAACAGAATAGGACTAGCATATATGGTCCATTTTTTCCGAGAAGTGGACCAGGGACTGATCTATTCGAAAAAATCGTATTTACGGTCCGATTTGCTTAAAATTCGGTACGTAGGTAGCTTTTTAGCATATATTAACATATATGATCCACGTTTTCCGAGAAGTGGACCAGGGACCGATCTGTTCGACAAAATCGTATTTATGGTCCGATTTGCTTAAAATTTGGTATGTAAGTAGCTTTTTGCCTGGATAAGCTTATAGATTCCTGTTTTCCAATTCTCATGCAATGTCGAATATAAATAGCTTTGAGCAACGACCATATCAAGGGGCGAATTCGTCACTAGGCAAGATTTTTTTGCGCCAATCAGAAACAACGGATACTGTCAAAATATAAATATAATATATAATATATCTCAACTAATATATATTTTGAGAGCCGTTTTTTTAGTTTTCGCAAGGCTCAAGAGCGGTTGAACCGATTTTTTTTAAACTCCCACCTGCCGCACGTGTCCCAAAGATGGTTTTAGGCTAAAAAAAATCTATATGTAAAGGGGGCGTGGCACTTCCCATACAAACCGAATTTCTCATGCTACATCTCTGAAAGTGTGCATGGTAAAGTTCTGGAACTTGGTATGGGGATATACGAAATCAATCGCATACCCTTGGAGAAAAATTTAAGCTATTGTAAAAAGGGGTGTGGCATCTCTCTTACAAATTTTTTGGTAGAGTTCTGGAACTTTGTATGGAGATAAACGAAATAAATCGCATACTCTTGGAGAAAAATTCGAAGTATTGGAAAAGGGGGCGTGGCATCTTCCATACAAACCAAATTTTTCATATTGCATATCTCTGGAAGTGTTCATGGTATAGTTCTGGAACTTGGTACGGAGATATACGCAATCAACTCTTGAGGAAAAATTGGAACTATTGGAAAAGGGGGCGTGGCATCTTCCATACAAACCGAATTTTTCATACTGCCTATCTTTGGAAGTGTTCATGGTAGAGTTCTGGAACTTGGTATGGAGATATACGAAATCAATCGCATACTCATGAAGAAAGAGGGCAGCTGTTGGAAAGGGGGGCGTGGCACCTCCTATATAAATCGAATTTTTATACTGCATATCTCTGAAAGTATTCATGGTACAGTACCGGAACTTCGTATGGAGATATGTATATAGTTGAAATCAAGCCCATACTCATGGAGAAAATTTGGGCTATTTGAAAAGGGGTGTGAGGCCTACAAACGTACCGACCTTTAGCTATCTTTGAATGAATTTTTTTATTCTTCTGTAGGTGTGTTTGTGAGTGAAATCCTCCTAAATGGTTGTACGGATTTTAACGAAACTTTTTGTGTATTTGAGTGGGTCTCTGGATGGTTTAGTTTCACAATTTAATCCGACAGTTGGCGCTGTAGTTGAGTTATTACTAAAAATCTTATTTATGATCCGATTTGGCTAATGTTTTAAATATGTATGCAATACTATTGCAAAAACGTGCTGCCAAGTGGTGCTGAAGTCGAGCTATTACTAAAAATAGCCAAGTGAGAAAAGGGGCCGTGAAGGTCAGTCTAAATCGACCTGTTGCACCATTGAGTATATCGACGGTCCTGCGTTGCAATTGGCCCAATGGATGTGATTTTCCAATATTATTATGCGTTCAAACTTTTAAGGTATTTCGTCTGAAATAAGTATATGTATATTGCATTTCTGTAGAACAATGATTCGCACCCATTTTGAAATTGCCACCTACTATACTGTAAAGCTTCTAGGACATTCACTATAGAACCGGGTCATTGTTGCCGCCAGGGAGTGAAGAGGAAAAAATTTATTTCGCTTTGCGAATAACCGTGCTATGAAATGCCGCACAACTGGAGAATTTCAAGAACGGATATAACACTTTCCTTAGGTTATTTAAAGCGGCAAATGACCACCAAACCTTAATCTTAGCAGACAAATGTGCCAATGAAAATCGTAAACGTGAATTGTTGGTGAAAATGTTGGACCGAAAAGTTTTAATAAAATATATAAAAATTTTGGGCGGGACGAAGTTCGTCGGGTCTGCTAGTGTATGTATAAAAACGTAAGGAACATACAATGCACATATGTATATGTATTAGTCTTTCTTAGTTTAAATTAAGCAAATATTTTATGCCTTATTAATAAATTCACCAAAGGGCTAAAAAAAAGGGCTAGGGGCAATTTTAAATTTCTGTGGCCAAAAAAGGTATGTGGTAGCTAAATCTAGCCACCAAAGGCCTAAAACGGCAACACTGCTCCGCAAGGTTGCAGAAATATCAAGGCATATTCAACAAGGTAGAAGTGACAATTCAGTCGAGCTCTCTCATACCTGACTGTAATGTCAAAAAACGTAAACAAAGAAATTAACCCTTTGTTATGCATGTACCATATTTGATAAAATTCAATATCTATGAAATGAAAGTTTTTGTTTTTTTCGCGGAGCATTTGCTTATATGTATATGTTAATGTACTCGTGGATTGTGCTTGTATATGGCAGACTTACTCAGTTTGGGTCTGTGCATCAACAGCTAACTTCGTCCCCACATACACCTCAGGAACGACCGACACTTCAGATAACTCAAGGAGTATGATGGGCAACAAATAAAGTCACTGGCACTAAAATGGTGTTCGCACACACGCGAAGAGCCTCCTAATGGAACACCGCAGCTATTTTCCCACCGTTGTCGCTTCACTTGACAATTAGGAGGTTTAAAATAACGCACAAGTTTGTTGTCCTGGCTCTTGCCACACAGAGCGCACCGCTCGTAATTCCTTTTCATTTTATTTTTGTATGTATGTATTTAAAATCAGCCGCACAGCTCAAAATTGAAAATTGAAATTAAAAAATTAAAGTTTTGAATTACATAGGTTAAGAGTTGACATTACAGTCGCAGTTCAAAAGAGAGAAATGTCGAAATCACTTCTACCTTGTTACAGTGATGATAAAGTTGCCACAATGGACCTTTTTGGTACATTTTGGAAATGCCGCGCTGTGTGTATTTCTATTGGTTTTAGATTTACGCTGGTTAAAAACTTCTACTAAGTATTTATACAAATACTTTCTTCCTTCTTTACTCCATGCAAACTTCGACAAAATTTGTACTACACGGAAACTTAACAAAATTTAAATATATGCAAGTTATGGAACGAATTAAATAAATTCAAAACGAACTGAACGACCGGATGCTTGCAAACATTTTTAAAATACCTTTATTGT